GAAACAGATAAAGTCGATGGACGCTGGGCCAGGTAAGACCTGACCTCACACACTTTGTTTGCTGCTGCCTTTTTTACCACTTGGCACTTAAGTGAGGTCACTACAGAGCAAACCGTTGCCCAGTTTATATTCAACAAACGTGCAGAGGATGGTAGCTTGCCTGCTCTGCTGTGCAGTCTATACATGTTTGTTTCATTTTTTTTGTACACTCACCTTCCAGGAACACTTACACCCAGAAATGTCCTCTCTGTTGTGTATCTTCAGCCCAGCTGTTCTTCATGTCACTTTACATTAGTGACACTCTGTTTCACTCAGCAGGCGGTTCTATTGCAGACTTTTTCTTTATTCCCTCCTTAAGACAATTTATTTCACTGTTCTAACTCTTTGTTTCCTTGCTATTTTTATGAATTGATGTTATATTGATCGGATTCTTTAATGATCTTTACATTAGTGAACAAAGCGCTCGTTTGGTTAAAAGTAGACTTGTGAAAACACCTGAACCTGTGACACAACGGGGCCATCGCTGCCTCCAGCTCCCTCGATGCACGCATCCATCTCTGCACTCATCCATTCAGGTCCTGTACAGATAGTGTGAAGGTTTAGAAACTGCAAGAGTACTCTTAGAGCTTTTTCCCATATCCTTTTAATAAAAGTAATCCAGGCGCCAACACTTAATTGGTTCTTCCTCCACGACTTTGATAAAGTTCTCCCTTTATCAAAGGTTTGATAAAGCTTTGGGCAGCTTTTCTCACACGTAGCTCTGGAGCAGGAAATAGTTTGACCACATTTGCAGTTTGGGAATACTCTGTATAATCTTAGTTCCTGGGTTAACAGTGTAGCACACATTAAGATGCACTTTGCCAGGCTAATGTTTGATCTGCTGCTTTTGTATTTTCACTTTGATGATGTGTGAAAAAATCAGGGTTGTAGTTCATTTGTGGAAATGGCAAACAAAGAGCATTGTGGTGATGCCCAGATTTAAGCATTTTTTTTGGTTTTAATCTTTCTTTGCTCTCCTCTGTAGTGGATGCATGGACGGTGGCCTTCTCACCAGACTCCAAGTACATTGCCACAGGAAGCCATCTTGGCAAGGTCAACATCTTTGGTGTAGACAGCGGAAAGAAGGAATATTCTTTGGACACGCGAGGAAAATTCATCCTGAGCATAGCTTATGTAAGGAGCTGTAAATTCTGGTTTTGGTCAGCTCGGTGGTGTTTTGTCAAGCTCAGTCTCTGAGGGACGAGATGTCACCGCTTTAGTCTTCCAGTAACTCATCTTGATTTGCTCATTCACCACAGTGTATCCCTTTGTTTTACCTCTTAACTCATTCTTTCCAGGGCCAAAGGTTATATGTGATCCAGTCTCATTTCGCTACAGTTGTTACATGTAAAGTAATCAGTTTACTGGTCCTTGCTTCTCAGAGCCCAGATGGCAAGTATCTGGCCAGCGGAGCTATCGATGGAATCATTAACATCTTTGACATCGCCACTGGAAAGCTACTCCACACGCTGGAAGGTTGGTTCAGTCATCAGAATTCATTTTAAAAGTAACAACCAATTATTTTCATTTCATCTCGTTACTCATTTTGGATGAACTCTGTGAGTCATCATCGATTATGATGACTAACACTAGTCAGGTTATCTGGTGAAAAATAAGTGTTTATTTATTGATTTACTTTCCTGTTTGGCACTTTTATTGCTAAGAAATTGCAAAACAAGTTTCAGAAGCCAGGAATGACATATTCCTACTGCATTAGGGTTAGGGGTACTTAGACCTCACAGGTATGGGCCTAATTTATAGCAGGGACAGTGAGGCTATATATGTCCCAGTTGCTTTCTTTCAAAGCATGGCAGTGGTGGCATCATGCTCTGGGGCTGTTTTGCTGACAGTGGCACTGGTACATTGCACAAAGTGGATGGAATAATAAATGAGGAGGAGGAGGAATACCTCCAAATTATTAATTTACATCTCAATTTAACATCTGTACGGTCAAAAGTTGGACACAACTGGGTGTTCCAACAGCACAATGATCCCAAACACACATCAGTACTGGTTTTGGGATGGATAAGGCAGGCTAACATTAAGCCTCTGGATTGGTCTTCCCAAAGCCCCGACCTCAGCCATATTTAAAATTTGTGGACTAAAAGCAGCATTATAAGCAAGGTCAATGCCAGGAAGCCAACCAGTGAACGAAATGAATATTCAGTTTGTCTTTGTTGATTGTCAGCACTTAAAACAATGATAGAAAACACACAAAAGCAGGATATCTCATATAGAAACGCTGGCACAAGGAATTTTCTGTTCTCTCTGGATGATAAATAAGTAAACACAGTTTAAAATTTAAAAGCTAAACATGATTAAATATTTTTTAAATTGTGGCTAAACAGTGAAGGAAATGCAGACAGCATAGTCTTAAGAATAAAAAGGGCTTCAAAGTTTTTAAATGCATGTCACAAAGATCACCAACATGTGTGAGGACTCTTACAGAGTGTTTACCGTCTCCGCAGGTCATGCCATGCCCATCAGATCCCTCACGTTCTCCCCGGACTCCCAGCTCCTGGTGACAGCTTCAGATGACGGCTACATCAAAATATATGACGTGTGGGTTTGGGAGCTTCTTCCAGACAGCAGCTTTAACTCTGTAGATGATATATGAGTTCACTGATCCTGAAGGACATGGAGTTAAAGCTAGCGCTACTATTAAACAGCAAAGTTATGGTATAATAAAGATTACAATGCATTCTGTTTGCTTAATTAACTTTGCTGGAATCACTTCACAGGCAACACGCCAACTTGGCCGGCACACTAAGCGGCCACGGGTCCTGGGTTCTCAGTGTCGCCTTCTCTCCTGATGACACTCATTTTGTCTCAAGGTAACATGAAGCTCCTCAGATGGTAGCACAGTGCTAGTTTATATCCTGATAGTTAAAAGCTGCACTTTGTAATAAAACAGATGGAAAAATCACATCTGTTATTACTTGGAGACATCGTGTGATTTAGAAGTTCTGCCTCCAGGTCAATATTTTCTGCTTCATGTTCACACAGGATAAATAAAGTGACGATACTATTCAGGAAAGAGACTTGAAACACGATGCTGTTGTGCATGTGTTTGAATATAATGGCAGATCCACCCTCATCAGTTGTATGTCAGGGATTTCAAAGTCTAATTTCTCCACCCCTTTTCAGCTCGTCTGACAAGAGTGTGAAGGTGTGGGACGCCGGCTCCAGAGCATGCATCAACACATTCTTCGACCATCAAGACCAGGTGACTCTGCGTTTTTAACGTGTTAACAATCAAATTCAAAGTAATAAAATCCTGTTACTGTCAGTTAAATCAATATGCCTGGTGCCATCCAGCGGCCCGTCACGTGACCTCTGTCTGATGGTTGAGCTGAGTGGAAAACCAATAAGCCTGGCTGTCATTAGATCTCTGGTTGATGCCTGTGGGCAGTTTGATCTGTTTTCCAACAAAGCCTTTAATAAAATAGCACGTGTGCTCAGGGACGACATCAGAGGCAGCTGCCATTATTGTTTTTGTGACGGCAAAACCAGAAAATCTACAGGGACAGTTTGCAGCCAATTAACTGCTCAGCTTTACTTTGTTCTCTGTTTAGACATTGGTCTTTTTAATCTGTTTGCTCTCTTCGGATTCATTTCTGCCTTCTGCACTGCTCAGTTAGGGTCAGACTGCATTTTTTAGATATTTTTAAAGCTTGCGTGTACACACATGCACTTCAGCTAAAAAACAGTTAGAAATACTGAAGTAGTGTTAAATTATAGTACAGTATACAGGGCTGTTGTGGTGTGCGTTGTCATACATATGCAGTGAAGGTGCTCAGAGCTGCCCGTTTTGATCAATCCTCCTCTCCACAGGTGTGGAGTGTAAAGTACAACAGCACCGGCTCAAAGATCATCTCAGCTGGGGACGACCGTGCCATCCACATCTACGACTGTCCCATGTGACGAGACACATCCAGGCTGAGAGAGGACCTCCACAGCTGTCAACTCAAATCACTTATAGAAACTGATAATGAAGGGAGGGATAGATTAAAGCTGTAAATGTGATGGACTGTTTTGCACCGGCCGAGTGCGGTCAAATAAAAGGGTTGTTTTTGTATTTTGGCGTTCATCGCATTTCTTTCAGAACGGAGCGCTCTCTGTCATGAATCAGTTTCATGGCAGTGTCCGATTTGATGTGATATTTTTATTCATATATGAAACCAGAATTTTGAAACAGAAAATAGGCGTTAACAGCGCAACTGATGACCTTAAACAATCCATCGATAGATTATACATAAAAGACGACGTCACCTTATTTGTTAGTCAAATCCAGTTGTGAAGCCTGGAGCTGAGCATTTTCTTCTTTCATCATCTCAGGGCATTTGAAACCAACTGCAACACTGCACGGTCAGTTCAGTAAGGACTTGTAAATCACGATATACCTAAAGAATAACCTGCTTTTATTGTTCTTTTGACTAAAAATGTACAAAATTGTTGTATTCAGTAAGTAATGAGTATTAGCTCCCAAACAGCTTCTGTTTTCTCACCCAGAGCTACAGCCACCTTTTAGATATCCTTTACTTAAAATAGTATATATAGATAAAATTCTACTCTTTATGATGAAATAAAACTTTTTTCATTCATTCAATTCCATTATTCATGTGTGGAAATTTACTCATTGCTCAGTGAGTTTGGCAGCTTCATGTCAAAATCGTTGCTTTTGTTAAACTACCAAAGTGACAATCAGCAGACTTTTGTCAGCTCCCCAGTTCTGCTGCTGGTTGCTCACTGAAATTAGTGGATGAACTCTATGCTTCATGGACCACTATTCATCATTCATCTTGATCCTTTATCCTGCAGGTCTGACGTCACAGAACCTTCTGGCAAAAGTCAAAAAGAAACACGTTTGGATGGCAAGCCGACAGGAGGTTATAAAGCTCCCTCTAGTGGGAGGAATTGTGTACTACAACCACAAAACAACACTGAGCCTCACCAGCCACTCCGGTGAATCCAAGTCCTTTATTACTTTTCACCACATGTCCACAGGTACTCAGTTTTTTTTTTGTTTTTTTTTACTATTCATAATTGGCAGGTAGAAGGTAAATATCTTCCATACAGGTAAAAATCCACTTTATGTGCTTTTGTGATACTGAAGGACATATTGAGTCCACTTATTCACAGGAACACCATATTTACACTGAAAAACAATGTTTGCAAATGCTGAAAGAGTTTATTTAAAGAAAAAATAAGATAAGGGTACACAGTATCAGGTGTCGCTGAGATGTGGAGTTTTTTGGGCAGTAGTTAAGTCAATTCAAAACATTGCAGCTTTAACCGGAGCATCACAGCTTACCTCACACTCATTAAATGACCCGTGAACTCTGAAGGCATTTACATAGTTTAGTTTTTGTTTGCTGATGTGGTGCCAATGCCTTTACTGACTGCTCTCATTTACCCAACAGCAAAATACCACCTTCTGTAACTGAACAGTAGCAGATTTGTTCCGTATAAATCACATACAGGATTACCACAAAGAAACTACCAGATTTCCATCTCTAATGTCAAATTCAAATTTCAAAATTCTAATTTTATTTGTCACGTACACAGTCATACACAGTACGATATGCAGTGAAATGCTTAGACATGTTGGTCTAATGTTGGTCTAAAGCTCTCCTCACACTCACTTTTGCTTCCTAGAGTCAACCTACAAGAAACCAAAAGAAGCAGAAACTCTTTTCACCTTCCTGATTGGCCCAATCAACATAAACACGCATAAAATTCACAATGAAACCTGCATGACTGACTCCACAGACCACCGGCACATAAATGTCAGCTTACTGAAAGGAGTTAAAAGTAAGCTGCACATAATTATAATAGGCCAGGTTTCACAAGGACCTCTAGACATAAATATAACTGTAACAGAACACTGAGCACATTATAGTTTGGGAATTCTAGCTTGAATTTCCACTCTTGTGTATAATCTAATGACATTTGCATGTTATTTAGGCTTAAACTCCGGAGAGATCCTTTACACTGTTGTTGTCACTGGAATGCGCTCTGGTTACAAGCTCTCTTACGCTTTTTAGTAGAGAAACTAGGCCATTTGTCTCCAGACTTTGGCACGCTGAAATCCCCCTGCAGAAATATATTTGTTTTGTTGAGCAGCTCAGTTTTAAAATATGAATTCAGCCAACATACTCCAGCTAAGGAACAAGTAAAAACCCTGATTTTTCTGCATATATAATCATAAAAAACAAACAGGCCATATAGGAGCAATCGAATGTAGCATTTTTACGTTTCAGTGGATTTTCTAAAAGTAACCATGATTTCCTTTTTGAAAAAGAGAGTTTAGTTTTGGCAGAAATATTGGTTTCACTCTTAACTTTAGATTCCACAGCAGCAAACAGAAAAAAAGACAAGATAAGAAAAGCTGTAGTTCCCTGGCATACCTACAGACAAACATCGACACGTGCGCTTTTAAAATGACGCTGCTCCATGTGGCGCCTGTTGAAATCTCTGAGCTGTTGGCTGCTGCGAGGCGGACCTGCGTCCCTCCCGTCTGTTATCACCAGTGTCTGGACTCGATCAGGTCAGCTCGCAGGCTCAGTCTCTTCAGAGTCTCGTATCCGACCACAATGAGCACTGACGTGGGCGTGGAGGAAATGACGCGGGCAGACAGCCCCTTGGTCAGCCCGTACGCCCCCTCCTCCACCAGCAGCTGCTTGAATGTCCCAATAACAGACGTTCGTCCCTCCACCTTAAACAGACAGGACACATCACCTTTGCTAAGTGCAAATAAAACTTATCGTGAGGTTTAAACTCACCAAAACAACAACAAAACATTATTAATGCCTAATTTATGCTTGCTGCTGCAGTATGGACTGTGTCAGCATTACTGATTTATCAGTACAGGAGCTCACAGACTCCCAGACTATACAGAGGAACATGCTTTAACAACTTTCTGGAGAAAACTTTGAAACAAGATGCAAAGAAATTTCACAGATTTTGTCTCAGAGTAGAGCTTCTGCTCCTTCATATTAAAAGAAGCCAGTCGAGGTGGTTTGGGCATTAACTAGGAAGCCTAAGGATGCCTCCTGGATACCTCCTAGTGAGGTGACAAAAATGTGTCACACAAAATCTTTGTTAGTCTGGTCCACATTGAACACTCAACCAGTCACCCCATAATGTTTACTAGTCTTTGTAGCATTTAGTAGAGAAAAATAAAGGATTCTGGTTACATATTTATCATACTTCTTCTTCTCTCACTACTAGAAAAACTCAGTTTGGTCACTCACTCACTGTGCACCATTTCCACATAGCCTCAGGCATTACCATGCACTAATGAGCTGGCAGCATGAAATCCATTTTATTTGGATCACACTTAAATGCATATTTGTGTTCTCGCATACAGCTCTGGGAGGTAATGTCTTGAAAAGCTCATGGATGCAGAGGACCTGTGAAACAGCTTTTAGCTTTAGTGTCACGCACAGCTGTGGGTTATCTGAGTTTACCTGGACTCTTGCACGAACAACATCCATGGGGTTGGTGATAGTAGAGGCGGTTACTGCTGCCATCGGTCCTGCAACAGCCTGCAGAATCAGGTGGGGGCACTCACTTGGTGCTAATAGGGATAACTGCTCTGAGAACACAAAAGATACAAAGTAAACAGCGTAAGGCCAAAGTGATTCATATCCACAGGTTTTCCTGATCCAACTGTTGAAGCTGCGATCTTCATTACCAGCTTCCTGCCCACTGAAGAAATCCTTCTGACTCTCTTGTATGGTTTCGTTTTTATTTTGCATACTGAGTATTAGGGCTGCACGATTTTGCATAAAATGAGAATCACGATTTTTTGGCTTAGAATTGAGATCACGATTCTCTCACGATTTTCTTTTCCAGTATAAATATTTATTGCACTTATTAACTGCACATCAACTTCGTAACAGTTGAGACTGAACATAAAAACAATAAATAAACATAAAAACAACAAATGTCTCACGTTTTGTTGTTGCCGCAAAATGTTGTACTGCTTGAAATTCCGTCTCCACCGTTGCTCGACGCTGCGTGTACAGAGCAGGTAGTGCAACAATAGAAAAATAGTTGCGGGACGGCACTGTGTAGCGTTTGTCTAGGGTGTTGATCATTTTCCTAAATCCCTCGTTTTGCACAGTGTTGATGGGAGCCATATCTTTGGTCAGGTGATAAGTGATAGCCTCCGTAATGTCTTTGTGCCTGCGGGAGTTCGGCGTGTATAGGGAAGCGCTGTATATTATTATTGGTGTTTGGGTGGTTGACCGGGACGGATTTTATCCTGTCACTTTCTCGTCATCCCTGACGTGCTCTCCGTTGTTTTTTCCCTGCTAATTTTAGCATCACACGGCACAGCTTCTGTATCACATGGTATAAGGCTCCGCCCTTGTCATTTGTTGAGCAGGATTAGTGAGCGCTTGTTTTCATGCAGAGTACGTCCCGGATCAAAATGCGGTACAATCGTCGTCATCGTCTTTTTTTTTTTAAACCGTTGTCATTTGGAAATGAGATCGCACATAAGTATGAATCGAGATCGTGATTTTCTAACGATTAATTGTGCAGCCCTACTGAGTATTTTACATGATGCTTAAAAAGTGACCTACCTGCATAAAAATGATAAAAAGGCCACCAGAGTGCACTGTTCGGGATGTACGTGAGCAGCGATGCCACGTAGCCCCGGTAAAATCCTCTGAAGCCATCGGCAGAAAATATCTGCACCGTAATGTCACGGCTCTGTCCGAAACTCAGTTTGTGCTTCGTGGTTGCAAGACCCACTTTGGGTTTGGCCTTGAAGCGTGTCAGGTGCTCCCCTTGTCCTTGCATCATCAGATGCTGTGACACTATGTCTATCGGCACAGTGATGGTCTGAGCCACCAGGGACGCCATCCCTCCTGCCACCACAGACTTCACTGTGTTGCTGGGCGAGTACTGGTTCACATACTTGCGCACCAACTCGTAGGTGGTGATGTAACCCTGTCCCGCGATCAGGGTTAGCGTATTGACCATGAAGCCACGATAAAGGCCACGCACACCCTCCGTTCGGAGAATCTTGCAGAAGGCATCGAAGGTTCCTGAGTAGAGGCTCTTCCCCTTCTGTACTTGCAGGCGGGTGCGGATGACGCTGGCTGGGTAGACAGTGGCCCTGGTGGTCAAGGTCATGAAGACACCCAGGGAGTAAAACTTCCTCTTGTCCAGGTCCTCCCATTCGATAATCTGGATTGCACCTTTCTGCTGCATGGTGCCGGCCTGGGCAGCGACGCACCACTAAAGCTGCAGATCAGCAATGATCACCATGCTGCCTGCAAGAACCAGAACCACTCACCATTAAAAGTCCTGCAGTCAGATAAGAGCACATGTATTTGTTCATTCAGAATTTAGACTCCAGATTACTGATAGGAGACACAACCATTTCCTCACAATTTCATGGGGAAAAAAAAAAGTAACAAAAGCTGCAACTGCATTTTGGGACGTTACTTTTAGTGTGACCGTTTCATACACTTCCACTGAAAATCAACTGAGAAGAGCTCAAACAAGTGAATATCAGGTACTTTTTCCTTTAAAAGGAGACCTATTCTACTTTTAGCCACGTGCCTCTGGCTGTGAAAGCAGCTATCCCACTGACGTGCTGTTCTAACCTTTCACCTCCAACAGGCAACCAATCAGAAGAGTTCCAAAATAAAAATACTGGCAGATGCCAGTGCGACCCCTCAGCCTCCTGGCAGATGCATCTATGTACATTTTTCTTGAGTTTTGTGTTCACGAGATTTTCAGAAAATTTTACCTCTGACCTTGACCTAGAAATTGAGGTCACCAGAATTCGAACCCCACCAAGATGTTTACTACGTGCAGCTATAATATTAAAATCCTTTTTTCTTGAGTTATTATGTTCATAAAGTTGGGTGTTCACGCCCCCCGACTGGCAGGGTGAACACAGTACCCCCTCCGCCACAAAAGGTTGTTCACAGTTCACAGGTGATTTCCTTTAAAATAATAAAATGCTGACTTTTAATGCTCTGGGAGTTTTCTTCTATCATCTTATTGTCGCATGCTACAGTTTCTTTTTTGTATTATAAGTGAGCAAGCTACACAAAAGAAGTGAGCGCACCCTCTGCACCAGGACATAAATGTCAGTAAATCAAAACTATGTCATTTAATCCCTGCAAAGCCTGAACCATTGAAATAATTGCCAGAGAGTTCTTTTTTTTTTTTCTTTTTTCTTTTTAAACTGGAAGGCTTAACTCATTCACTGCCAGCCATTGGCAGTGAATGAGTTAAACCCATTGACTCATTCACTGCAATTGACGGCTATAGACGTCAATGGCAGTGAATGAGTTAATAAACCTTCTGACAAATAAAAAATAAATAAAAAATGTAAAACAATTTACATATGAGTTCTAATTTACACAGTCTTACACAATTTGTGTAAATAGCACAATCTAGCTCTGGGGGTGGGGTGTAGTTGCTTCAGAGCAGAGGTTTTTCCACAGAATTTTCGGTGATAGCTGATAACGTGTAAAAGGGAAAACAAAAAACACTGTAAGTCACACCTATTTGGATGCCATCCAAGGAAAAAAATAACAACAACAAGACTCAAACCTGCAGTAACATAATGTCATTTTGTCAGATAAGACCAAGAGTAATCTCTTTCACTCAGTAACAAAAGATGAAGAAACTTTTTCCATTGAAAACTTTGATGGGACCTAAATTCTCATCATAAATAAACTCAACTCCTTTTGAAGCTTACATAAGAGAGAGTTCTCTACAGCAGCAGTGTAATTACTCTGAGGTGACAGTTATTTTTTATTATGTTTATTTAATATCGACTTTACTTGTTGTTGCACATCAGCAAACAAATCTAAAATTTAAACATGCAAAATGTTTGGCAAAATGACTAATTTATATCATCTGGGCAGGTCACATTAAACTAAAATTTTCAGCAGACACATACAAAATCGAAACAAATAAACAAACACAACCCAGACAAGACACAAATTAATCACATATATTACAGTATCCAAGGAGTCTGACACTAAGAAAAACAAATGGTGCCCACCCCTGTTCTGGTGCAACCTCTTAGAAAGAAAAACGTGGGAACGCCCCTGTACATAACGTCGCTTTTCTGTTATGTGACGGGGGAGCAGGGAGGGGGTAGTTAAACTAAATAGACCTATTTGCGCCATGTACACTAAGACCTAACACGACCTTACGTCCACAACAAGAGTCGCAGCACTGCCCTGTGTGAACGTCTAATCGAACTTTAACTCCTTCAAAAAGGCTGGTCGAGAAAAGCGGAAGCACGTGCAAAGGCAGTGTGCACTTGCAGTTTGTTAGCTAGCAAACAACGCTACTGATCCCATGCTATGCGAATTCGTCCTTTTTAAAGAAACAAGGATTAAACATAATCACCCACAAACACACCAACTAACCTTGCAGGCGGTCACGAAGCTCCTCTTCCGTTGCCACTGCTGCAAACCTGAGTTGTTTTCTTAAACTCGCACGGCCTGCTCTGCTACAAGAAGGGTCATGTCTTCCGTCCATCAGTGCTGCGAACAAATGTCCTCAAACGTGATAGGTCATGACCTGTGTTCTTCCGCAAACTGTTGTTACAAATCTGCTTAAACCTCTGCTAAAGAAATCAGGGGACGGAGAGCTGTTTGCTCTTCCAGGTGACCCCTATAGCTGGTATGTTTACGTAGTTACCTGCTTGTACGACGATGATGGTGCCTTTAGGTCCTGAAAAAAAGCGTTCGAATTCCAACAAATCACACACAACCAATGAGAAATTTTTAATAATGTAGAAGTTTTTACTCAATCAAAATGAATCCATAAACGTGGTTTATTGTTTGTTTGTTGTGTTTACCGGTGGCAGTCTATAAATGCACAATAAATTTGTCACCTGTAACTGACAGTTAAAACTTTATCCTTGAATAGTCCGAGGCGCATTGAAGGTCGCAGGGAAAGAGACGGTGGCGCTATACTGTCACGTGGGGCCTGTGCTTTTTAAAGTCACAGTGACTCATATTAGTGCTTCTGTGTGCACAAATGAATTCCTCATTAGTTCATGTATATAAACTAACTATGAAATACATTTTGAATAATTAATGTTTGACATATGGGACATTTTTTCTTGGTTTTAAGCCGTCGCAAATCCCACCTTATACTAATTTAGAGCACAACGGATATATTTAAATATATTGGTATCAGTTTATGTTGTCTAATTTGGTCCAGAGTGAAAAATAAGTTTAATAAGTATGACCTCAGCCCAACGGAAGACCCAGTTGGGATAATCTTGAAATATTAAACAAATCAAATGACAGGGCCTTTTTAAAAGAGGTAAAATTCTTCAGAATATAGATAGAAATAAAATTAGAGTGTTACCTTGGATGTTAAAACTTTTGTTTTTATTAGAAACCACTATGTGGATGTCAGTAAGCTATTAGATAATGAAAATTCCCCAGTCGATACATATTAAGGCAGTCTGCCAATCATAAGCTAATTCACCCTTAATTTTTACACTGCAATTACAATATTATATAATAATATTATTACAATATTAACAATATGAATCATTACGTGCTAATTTACACAAAAACTACTTATAAAAGATTCATCCAACCGTTATTCAACAATCATCCAGTTTAAGATCGGTGGGGGTGCGACCTATCGCAGCTCACTGTAAAACAGTCACAGTAATATATATTTTGGGTGTTTCTTTGTTTTTTTTCTATAGTGTATAAACATGTCATCAAATAAAAGTTTGTCTGACATCTAACAACTGCACATGCATGGGATTAAAAAAATGATGCCATAAAATATTTATAGTGTATGCTCATACTGACCCTGACTTACTGAGCTGGAATCAGTGGCTGAGGCAGGTAACAGCATCTCAACTTTTAGAATATTTATAGTATGAGATGCTCCTGATACATTTAAGATAATTTGGAAAGACTTTATGGACCATGTTAAAACATGCACAAACAGCCACACCTTACTCACACACACTCCCTATATTGAAATTTATTAAATAA